GATAATGATAATGATAATGATAATGATAATGATAATGATAATGATAATGATAATGATAATGATAGTGATAGTGGTAGTGATAGTGATAGTGATAGTGATAGTGATAATGATAATGATAATGACAATGACAATGACAATGACAATGACAATGACAATGACAATGACAATGACAATGACAATGATAATGATAATGATAATGATGATGATAATGATAATAATAATGATAATGATAATGATAATGACAATGATAATGATAATGATAATGATAATGATAATGATAATGATAGTGATAGTGATAATGATAATGATATTGTTAATGATAACGATAATGATGATATGATAATGATAATTTAGAAAGACTTAAATCTTAAACAATTATATATGATATGTTTCAAATACTTACGATAGCATTTCGGTTTATTTTCTATCATCTAAATCTGCGACCCGGCAACTTTTGACATTCAACACCGAATTCATCTTGTGACTGCATGCAATCATCTATATAACAAATAACCAATTAGTCTTACATTTTTAAATTGGACAATAGATTTAGCTGCCCTTAGTTCTTTAGAAGCTCTGAACCAAGTCCACCACATCCATGTTTAACTGTAAAATCCTCAAGTTTCTTTTCATTAGGGCGGGAAATAAAAAAAGGATTTATATAAAAAAGTCAAGAGCATTAACAAATGAGGGAATGTAATTCAATTTAGCTTCTCTGACTCTTCGAGGCGGAATTTCATTCATAAATCAAAAAACCGCGACGGATAAGAAATCGCTGTGCGCAATTAGACCCAACTCAAATCCCATCTGCTCTTGCCAAGTTTAGTCAGGGATATCGATGGCCGATCACATTGCGGTTTCGTCCTTATCTATCTTTGTACCTTTGTGGACTGTTTTCAGTCTGATTGATTGCCTCKGCTGTCTGCTTGKTCGTGATTTTCAAATCAAACGTAATGTGGTTASCATGCTAGTTGATCTCAAGCGGGTGACACGCTGTTCGATGAACAGATTGTCTGGCTTGGCTCACGAAAAGATAGCGACAATAAACTGGCGGGAATTTTCGGCGGGAATTTTTTATGGGACGCGCGCGCGTGCACATACGGGGTATTTAGTCCACAATTTCATATCTACATARATAACAATATGGAATATACGAGAGCTTTATCGATCAAGATAAACGACATTATCCATAATCTATTTACAAAACATTTGATTTAGCTATTCTCTGAAATAAGTACCTAGCTATATATGAAAAAAATTGAAGAAAAAAGTAATTTCATATACATCACAATGTAATCTCATTAGTCAAGCGATGTTGTTTATTATTCTTTATTGAATGACTTTTCAATGCAAAACTCGACGCGAATGATAAAAAATTCAAATGTGGTGTTGAGTCATCGTGATAATGATGAAGTAGAAAGATTAAGATTCACGTAGAAACGGCATTTTCAACAAAAGCTGGAAATAATTGTTGGATTTATAACAATAGTCATGTAGAGTTTTATAAATAACTTCCCAATCTATACTTCCTCGCC